CCCTTATTCCTTTTCCTATCGCCTCCTCCTTCTCCCAAGTGAGGAGTTGTACAGCTTGATGGCTTGAGGAACAAAGGAGTTCAATAGTTTGTTGGTCCTACATTTGGGGCGGAGCCATCTCCACTGTTCAGGCTCCTCTGAGTAGTGTAGTGAAGACAGTGTGTAGAGGCTGGCTGGCCTCTTTAATTGTAAACAAAGCCTACTGTACCAAATATTATCTCAGGTGTTTAAATACTTATTTGCAGCTGCACCATACAAATAAATAGCAATAATAAATTCAAATAATAAAATAATAAAAATCTTACATTGTGAGTTTTTTTTTTCCAGTGGACATGCACCTACGATGACAATTTCAGAACTTGCAAAATAGCAGGGTGTTCAAATACTTATTTCCCTCAGTGTACATATAAGAGTAGATCCCTCACTGAGTGTCACAGCGCAGAAATTATGGGCGCCATCTTTGGGAGGTCGATCTGCTACCCTAACCTGCTGGTTTGAGCAGGTCTATCTATCTATCTATCTATCTATCTATCTATCTATCTATCTATCTATCTATCTATCTATCTATCTATCTATCTATCTATCTGTCTGTCTGTCTGTCTGTCTGTCTGTCTGTCTGTCTGTCTGTCTGTCTGTCTGTCTGTCTGTCTGTCTAAAATAATTTAAATTATTAGCGAGTTAAAGTTTATTAAAACTGAATCCGTGCCTGCTCACCTCATTACACTTAGCAGAGCTGCTGACCGCCCTAAGATGGCGCCACCAAATCTCGTCATTGCCCATAGGTGAAAGCGGTCTATGTGGGATCTACTCTTATATGTATATATGTCTATTATGGAATCATAGATTCATATTACACTGCAATAAATACTTATTTTACAGAGAGTGGATGGAGAAAAGTATTTGGTCTATTATACATTTAATGGATACTAATGGTTGCATGTTAAATTATGAACAATTTTGTGCAAAATATAAAAATTTCCCCTCCAAAAGCTGAATTTACAAGACTACTTAATGCCTTACCAAAACAATTTATTAATCAGATTAAAAATATAATAACATATTATCCAATGACCCCAGAACTACCCAATTAATGTATTAATGGAAAATCAATCACTGACCAAAAATTCAATGACCATGTAATTAGGAACTGTCTAAACGAAACTTTGTTCCCTGGGAAAATAAATTAAAATACCATTCTTTGCAAATATGAAAAAAAATCAATTGAAACAGTGAGAACTCGTTATCTAGAACTCCCCATACAACCAAAGGCTAAAGAAGCACACATAAAAGTTTTAAATGCAATTTACCCCTCAAAAGAACTACTAAGAATTCGTTTTATTATTGATGACAATCAATGCTCATTCTGTGAAAGTGATAGAAACAACTGGCCATGTCTTCTATGAATGCAATCAAACCAAAACATTTTGGAATTGCATTGAAACATGCATCAAATCAAAAATTGCACTTCCTGAATCTATTTCTAGAGATATGTTAACTTTTGGAATATTATTGAAAAACAAAACAATAGAACTCTGTTGTAATCTAATTTTGTGTTTAGCAAAATTCTTTATTCATAAACAGAGTGTTGAGATCATCCCCAATCTTTAAAGTATTTTTATCTAAATTCAAATTATATTTGAAATCTCTTAAATGTATCGAATGATACGAATACCTGACTGAAATACTGATGGGTTTGCCCACCGATGTTCCCCAATCCTAACATGAATCCCCTTGTTGCCATGTTAATAATTATTTCAGTATTATCAGCCATTCCTTTTTTTCCTTCCCTTATCAATAATGCTTTGTATCCATTTTAAAAATCTGCCTCTACTATGCCTTCCACAGATTTGTAATGTTGCTATTGCTTTACTTGTTTGAACTTACATTGTTTAAATTAAGTTTTTTTTTTTTTATGTGTACACTGAAAAAAAAATAATGCAACCGTTTTTGGCATTTACTTAATCATATTTAGTTACTTTAACACAATTGTTTTATGTCCTACGCTGCTAACATGAAACAATTGTGTAAACGTAACTAAATATGCTTAAGTAAATGTCACTGTATGTCTATGGACAAAAAGTAGCAGAAATGAAATTCAAACCTATGATCTAGCGCAGCGAGGACCGGAAATCCGTCCCATAAATCGGGTCGATATTTGTCACGTGACCACCCATTCTTGAGCGCAATGTAGCGATCTATCTTGGCACAACACTTCATCTTTGGAAGGTCCCCGGAAGACTCGCTAGCCGATGATGTTGGGCTAAATCAAGTGAGTTTATTACTTTAAATTATATTACGAATCTTTTCAAGGGGTATATCTGAGTCAACCATGTCTATTATATTTGTATTTGTCAGAGAATCCTGCTGGATATTTATTATTAGAGTTTTAAATTTGAAATGGTTACCTAGTCAAACTTCAAAAAAAGCTCAGTTAAGCTAACAGAGGAAATAGTTAGCCACAATGCCTTTTAATGTGTTAAATGCATTCATTTTAGTGTATTTAATTAATTTATTCGCGTTCTAACCAGATATCATTGCTATTTACCGTTTTATTGTTTGCGCTGGTTACCACCTTGCTAACAGTTACGGTTGTTTGTTTTTAGCTTTCAAGTAACGACCTCCAGTCATGGGATTTCGCACCAAAATAACACGATTTTCTTGAGACGTAAGCAATGTTTGCTGTAGTTTAAGGATTAATTATCAATCCTAGATCTAATGGTGTCTGGAAAAAGTTTCAGATAAACAGTTGCAGATAGAAAAGGAAGGCGTTCAGCCCTGAATGTCATTCCATCGGTCTGACAAACAAGCTGTTATATTGAAACTATTCTCCTTAACCTGCTGTCACTGAATCACTGCTTCTAAAAAAATATGGTTCAACTCAATAACATCCTGTCCCCTTAGTTTTGAAACCACAAGCTTATATACGCCCTGAAAAACTTGCTGTCCAAATGTAGGTCTCCAGTTCACTCATTTTCTGAGGCTAATTGGAGATCAAAGTAATACATTACAGTTAAAAGTGGCCCCTTTTTAACTCAAACAAAAAAGATTTTCTCAGTAGTCTGTCGCCCCCCCTTATTGAAATCACCAAATCTTTTAATCTTAATATTATTCCAATAATGTGCAGGTATCCTTTTAATGGCAGATTCCTACTTTGGCTGACATTTACCAAAAAAAAAGCTGCAGAAGAGGAAGTCATTGAATGTGAAAATAAAGGACAAACATGTGGGAACCATGATCAGGTGGTTTCTAAATGAATATTTGAACCATTAACTTCTTATTTGAAAGTTATCGGAATAGACTTGTAAAAGCGTGTGTCCTGGTTTTCTAACTGGCATGAAAATTATTTATTTATTTACTGCCAATTATGATATTGGTGAAATACTCATCGTCTGTCAGACAGAATTTAGGAGATTCTTTATTTTGAGTTTACTTTATTGGTATTTACATTTAGCCTTAATATAATTGGGTCTTTTGAGCTCCTGCCAGATTACAATTTGAAACAACCTTTTAATTTAATCAATAACTTTCTGCAAACTTGTTTTAAGGTGGCCCAACTGAATATATGAATATGACAATCTGTAGTGGGACCAAAGACATTCCGTGTTTAAGGATTAAGAGAGCAGAAGATGAAATGCCAGAAATATCAGGAGAGGGTTAGAAGATGCTTGGCATATTTTCTTTGATTATTGGTTATAATATAAATAATAAGAGATGCCTCCTTTTTTGGACTTTTTTATGAACACTTAGTAGCTATTATTTTTACGGTATTATGTGGTTTTAATGCAGAACCAAAAAGGTAAATCATCAACAAGTGAAATAAATCATCTTGAGCCTCACTCTATCAGTTGTCCTGAAAAAAAGTGTTGGAATAATTATGAATCAGATTATCTTTCAGCATTTACTTAATTTACATTAACTTTTATTTATTTAAAATTAAAACTGGTCAACTCTGGTGCCTTCTGTTGCTTATATTCTGCTGCGTTAAAATGGCTGCTGTTAATGTTGCATTCAGGAGCTCCTGGTATCTAAACCTGACACTGTTGATATGCTGTTTGGGAAATGGGATGAGGAGAGAGACTTCAACTTTTCTTTTCTTTTTTCCATTTTCTGCAGGGGAGGATTTCCAATCAGGCAGCAGCCATGCAGGGGGGAGAGTACGAGGAGATGGGGGGCAGCCTGCCTGCCATTGCCTCTCTGAATGCCTCCTACTCCACGTCACTGACCCTCCCTTCCCCGTACCTCCTGGTTCCACCTGCCGAGCGTAAAGCTGTCTCTGATGTCCGGCGCACCTTCTGTCTCTTTGTGACGTTTGACCTCCTTTTCATCGTGCTTCTTTGGATTATAGAGCTAAATGTGAATATTCTTTTATTACCAAACTTGAAGCTCTTTTACTATAAATCCTCACTAACCATTCTGACTCTCCCTTGCTGTTCTTCAGGTCACTGGTTCTATTTTGGATAATCTAGAAGATCAGGTTGTCAGATATAACTTCAAGTCTTCCTTCTTTGACATAGCTGTAAGTGCCAAATGGGATTAGTTTTATGTTGTGATCTGGACTTTTTGTGTGTATGTTTGTGTGCAAGAATTAGAATGTACTATAGAGAAAATGTCTGAAGGGTTTAGCACTTGGTGACATGGTGTGGTTACCCTTCTATTCTTGTTCTCATCAGGTTCTTGCCTTGTTTCGCTTCCTCTGTCTACAAATTGGCTATGCAGCGTTTAAGCTGAAACACTGGTGGGTTGTCGCAGTAAGTAGGCTGAGACGCAGTGAAGAGTAAATGTATTTAAAGTAAAATCTCAGTCCTCTCTATGCTGGACGGGAATAAGAGCTTGATTCTTTCCCTGCAGGTTTCAACTCTTGTGACCAGCGTCTTCCTTGTAGTGAAGGTCATCTTATCAGAAGTGAGTGCCTTCCTAATGCAGCCCTTTCTTCTGGTTATATGCAGCACGAGTTCATTAGCTTAAACCTCTTCAGCTTTTTCACTTCTGCTTTTCTGCAATAAAAGAGAAAAAAATCAACCGTCTATGTTCACATAGTTAGCTTGTTACAGCAGGATGCATCGGTTAAACATAATCTAAACTCTCATTAGATAACCAAGCCCTTTTCCCAAATACATTTATGAAGCATTATAATCCTCTTATCATGAGTTACATGGATAGGAACCACCCTATAAGTGCATGATAAAAGCAACCGTATACCTCTCCCTTTCTTTCCGTTTATGCACAGCTCCTGTCAAAGAACGGCTTTGGCTACGTTTTAGCCATCGCCTCGTTCGTGGTGGCGTGGTTAGAGACCTGGTTTCTTGACTTTAAGGTTCTCACTCAGGAAGCCGAAGAAGAGCGAGGTGAGAAAAAAATCCCACATGTCTGCAAGCCTCTGCAGAAGTATTAATTTTCCTTTAACTGATTTCCTGTTCTGACCTCAGCTTATGCAGCAGCAGTGAACGCAGCCTGTGAAAGAGCTCCTATGATCTATCCCCGTCCGATTTCAGAAGGACAGTTCTACTCTCCACCTGAATCTGTCGCAGGTAAGTGTCTGAATATGTTTACCTTTCATATTCAGCCGTATGCTTGTTTATATCCTAAGTGCTGCAAGGGATGTGTTTTTCATGCCGACCTTTTGCCCACAGGCTCGGACGAGGATTTGGATGAGGAGGGTCTCGGGCGCAGAGCCGTCACTTTTCAGGTTTCGGCATCAGCCGCTGTTAGCTGTTTGGTTTATTGAGCGTCGTCTTTTATTTAACGCCTCCATGTCTGCATCTGGCTGCAGGAGAAGGAGTACGTCAGACAGGGTCGAGAGGCCATGTCTGTGGTGGAGCAGATCCTCACCCAGGAGGAAAACTGGAAATTTGAAAAAAACAATGTAAGCTCATCCATTCAGTTCTACACTTAGGTTTTCAATCAGCAATTAAGGCTGTGCAAGGTTCCTTAGAAGCTGTTGTCCTATAAAAAAATTTAAAGGTTTAATCTGCAAACTTGTCTGATTTTTTTTTTTCCCATTTATTATTTTTTTAAACCATAAAAAATTGACAATATCCAGATAAGTCATGAGAGGTTTTTAGTCACCTCATGCATGATGGGTATCTAGTACAGTAGTAAAGCTTGATCAAACCAGTTTGGTAGCTTTTTGAAAATGAAACAGAAACTTACTTCCTGTCTCTCAGCTATTCTGTCAGTGATTCATTTC